ATCACAGAGCGTTTCGATTCACGTGAAATTATTTAAAAAAACTTCATTTTTATTTTGTGAAATATGTAAATAATATACATTATTTTGTTAAAATAAAGTAGAAGTGGTATTCTTTAGACTATTGTCTCGTAAAATATCTATATTTTGTAGAGTATTTTGAATGTTGTCAAACACCGTATCCAAATCTATTGACAGATACAAAACAGAATGCCAGACTTATGACATGTCATGTCCTTCTCTACAATCAATATAAACACAAAATGCTACTTATTTTTTTACTGTATCAAAATGTAGCATCTGTACGTTTATGGGTTGATACATTGAAACTAAATCAACTAAATGAAGTTATTTATAGTGATCAGCTGTAATAACAGTGGTATGTCACCACTGTTACGCACAACTTGGTTGGTTATCGTCATATTTGGCATACGTATACAATCTGAGGAACAAATAACTACATAACATGAAGAACTCACTCGTACCTGTTGACCATCGGTGTTAAGCGCGATCTGTTCGCCCTTAGACGAGCAGTACCTATCACTGTACGTGTCCAAGCCCACTTCTAGCCGCACCATCTTGTTTCTAGGCTTAACGCACGCATTCACTACTTTCACATCTTTCCAGTCCCTATTTGCTGGCCTCACTGGATATTGATATATGTAAAGATTCTGTGCTAATGCCTGCGACAGAAACACAGGGATCTGTAACGAAAAATAAAGAAAACATTACCAAAATATAACTTTTTTCACACAATAACATAACCTCGTGATCAACCATCTACCACGTTGTTATTGATAAAAAAACTATTTTTTCACCTCCTGCACGACAGGATCTTCTTCTTCTGTTTTAATCATATTTATTTAGTGTAGTGAAACTATAACATGACCGTAATTTTACGTAATTTACAAACACCACACCACAACGCCACCGTTTTAGTCGTAGGTACAGTAAACGCCAAAGAGTATACTCTTAGGCGTTTAATATTTAATAAGTATGGGGGATAAGAGTTGCCACTCGTCAAAAATTTATGCCAATCAATTTGAAGCGCCATCTGAAAATTGGATCCTAGTATATTTTTTTTTTTTACTAACGTCTACAGATAATCAATCCTAAGTATAGCTAATGCCAATACTACCAACAATGTACCTTGCAGGTTGGTACATTGAAGGTAGTATTGGAATTAGCTATGTCTGGTA